CCTCAGAGTCATTTTGGCATCATGCCTCAAATTCGTTGCTGTGGTATGCGAAAACGGTTTTGTCTATCAACTTTCTATAACTGTCTATAACTTTTTTTTGTCAGCATGGTCTGAAGATGATATGATTCGATTTTGGTGAAAATCGGACCAACGGTCTTGGAGGAATTCGAAAAAGTAGGTTTTTAAAGAAAATCAAAATGGCAGACAGGAAGTTTGGCTGACTATGGCAACATTGGTATTGCTGTTCTCAGCATGACCTAAGGAATGTATTAATACCAGTCTCATTACAATAGGCAAAATCCGCATAAAGCTATTAGCATTTATTTGAAATTTCATTATAACTTTTGACCACAAGGTCTTTTTACATCATAATACTCTATTGTAGTCAATGGCAATTTCATGTTTTGTTCAATTATAGCGCCACCAAGAGGCACAATCCCACCAAATTTTTTATGTGTCCTTAGAGTGTGCCCATACATGTGTGTCAATTTTGTTTTGGAGTTATAGACATTTTTATATATGAGAAGAGTAAAAATGACTGTCAGCCGACTTTGTTTGCATTTTTTTTGCCACTTACTATCAAAATTTTGTAATTTGGGTATTTGTTTAGCCGTCGTGCTATGTTTCCGAATTTCCTACGGTGGTTTCGTGTCGATCGGAGTTACGGTTTCTAAGATATTGGCAAATGTTTTTTAAGCACTAAAATGCAACGTTGCACAAACCATAAGGCAAAACCTGGCATGTTTGGTATCGCTGGACTCGGCAAGGATTCAGGAGTCTAAAAAGGTGACTCCCGTGAAAATAAGTTGACCACACCCAAAGTTATAAGCATGTGAATATTTGATTTTACCACTAGGTGGCGCTGGCTCGAAACTTCTCAGACTCCTTTAGGGCATCGTGCTGATGAACCATACCAAGTTTCGTAATGATACGTCAATGCGTTCGTAAAATATAGCATTTTAGTACAAAATTCAAAATGGCCGACGCCCAAAATGGCTGACATGGGAAAATTGGCATGATGCACCGAATCTAAAGAGACCAGTTTTGTGATTTTTGGCCAAAACATTCAGAAGTTATAAGCAAAAATGTGCATTTTTCTTATCTCCTGACCACTAGGTGGCTAATCTAAACTGTGTACATATTTAATTTTAAAGGGCTTTTAAAACCTTCTAGAGTTATTCAGCCAAGAATAACAACTAAATTAGCTAAAAAAAAAAAAGCACCGAAACTGGTTTTCTGACTGATATGACACAAACAATGTTAACCATTTGT